TTCAATCCCGCTGAAGAAACTGCTCTTAGTTTTTTGTTTATTTCGAGCATATTTGCAAGCATATTTACCTATGTTTTAGTGCTAATTTAAGCGCTTAAAATACATTTTCTCTTGCTTATTTTTCCGGCCCTGGTTATTAAACTTGATAAAAGTCTAGTTCGGACTATGCCGAACATTAAATACCCGGCGGACCTGGTAAATACCCAACAAACATTTAGGTTATAGAACGACTAGAAAACGACTCGAAATCTAATATGCTTCTCTAAGGTAGAAAGTTAGAAGACGATTAGAGATACTGTCGAGAATTATAGCATTCACTACAAAAAGGGGACTTAGTTCTCAATATCGAGAAAGAGGTTAGATATATAATCGTTTTCTAACGTTGAATTCTAATTGGTTTGTAATGTTTAGTGTTTTTCTAATCATTCTCTAATCGAATTTTTACATAGTCCTCTAACCTGGTTTTCGATTCGAGAACTACATTAGAATTCTAATGTAAAATCAAAATATTTCTCTAGCATCAGAGACTACAGTTACATGGTATGTTGGGGTTGGTTTTACGCCTATTTCAAACATTTTCGGTAATATGCTCAATTAGACCTAGTGAAATAATTTAACCGTGTTTAGTAGAAGTCGATAAAATGGTTACCGATATAAACTAAAATCCATAATTTAATATAACGTAAATTTTTTGGGTAAGAGAGGAGCAATGGACAACGCGACCTAGAGGATTTTTTGTATTCACATAATGGTTAATAACCCTGAAGGCTCAAGATGTTATTAGCCTCCCTTATAAAAGCTAACAATTTCTTGGTAGACGTTAACGTTCTTCCTAACGTTAAGGGTATCGACTGTGAAAGAAATGAAATATTGCAGTTTTAGTCTGGCTCTTGCTGAACAATATCACTCCGACGTCTCCTCGTCTTTAAGGCAAAGACGGCAATCCGTTTCTGTAGAAAGACCAATCCGGTGCATGTGAGAGCGCAGGTGATTATGGCCCGTTAGGTAGCCAATTAGCTACTTGATGTTGGCTCTGCTCCTTTTCTTAGGGAAGCAGCAAAAATAGTTAAGAGGTCATCCACCACGAGAGACCAGAGTAGAGGAGAAAGAACACCTCCCTGTGAGCACCCTTTTTTCTGCTCTGATGTTCGCGGAGCTCCTGCCTGGGAACAATGTGATTCAAGCTCACTGAGCATGGTGTCGATCCACTCGACAGTGGACAGATCTATGCGCTGTTCGACCAGTGCTCTTGAGATACATTCGTAGGCGGTATTATCAAAAGCCCACTCGATGTCCCGGAAGGCACATAAAACAACCTCCTTGAAATCGAGGGCACTTTCGATGTTACCAACCGAACACTGTAGGGCAGAATCTGTCGATTTGCCTTTGACATACGCATAATGCGGGTTTCATCTTGTCCCCAATATTTAGGTTAGCCTTTCGACGGTCTTTAAGTTGCAGGAAGTTAAACTAATATGTGTGTATGATTTAGGTAATTCGGGGTGCTTGTTGCCCGGTTTAGGAATAAATAAGACGGATACCTTCCTCCAAGTATACGATATGTATTCCACGACTAACTTGCCCTATAAAAAACCGACCAGCGGATCGATGGCAACATCAATACATCAAATACACGTACCAGGTTTCGTTAAGATACCAAAATTTTACTAGAGTTATCGTGTGCATCGACGGACAGACGCACAGACATGGCTTAATCGACTTCTCTTTTCATTCTCAATATTGTGGTTTACTTACATATCTAATAATATAATAATAGATTGGCGCTTACACATATGTTAGTGTTTGGCTAGCTTCTCCTCCGATTTGTGGCGTGCACCTTGATGTTGTCACACAAAGCGGAGGGACCTACAGTTCTACGCCGACTCCGAACGGCGATTGTATTTTTATGACAAACTGTTTTTCATGGCAGAAATGCACTCGGAGGTTTGCCATTGCCTGCCGAGGGACGACCGCTGTTAAGAAAAAACTTTTTTTCTATATTTTTTTGCGATGTTGCTTTGACCAGGGTTTGAACCCAGGTGCTGATGGGTGAAAGCGCGCACTGCTTACCACTACACCACAGCAGCCGCCATATCTATGTATATCTAAATACATGTCTTCGCTGCGCCAACAAAAACAATTATGTGTTTTTTAATAACTTTTCAGGAGAGCAAAAAAAAACTAATTCCTGGTGCCAATAGGCAATATTTTGCCAGTGTCGTATTAAAGAAAAAAAATTGTATTAAAAATATGCTATTGATTTAGGGGGAAAAATCAATTTTTTTGACCAATTACGACGTGATCAACATTTGCGGCGCTTTAAAGCACATAGCTGTTTTTATACACGATTTAAATTTAGGTTTGGCGGTATGGAATCGTATGCAATTTGTACATAATACTGCCGTTAGGCCTAGATGCAATGCATAGAAGTTGAGGACTCGATAATTTAACTGCCCGTTGCTCCTATCTAGCGAAACGTTGGTGTCCTTGACGCGGGGCTAGATCTTAAGTGGTGACATGGGGGCCCTTAGGGGTTTCCATGTCGGCATGAACTAACAGGGATGCTCCGCATGGGAACCTGTGTAGGACATGTGCTTACGCAGTTTCCGATTAGATTACCGTACCAACGAGCCCAGGGGGGTTCCGCATTGCGGGGCTACGGGTGTCACAATCCCGGGTACCCCAGTCAAAGGCTACCAATCCTGAGTCGGTCAGAGGCTCAATTGGTAGAAGAGTCTACGACTTTCGGAAGTCATACCTAAGACTTTAAAAGAGGAACCGCTGGCGAACAGATGCCCCTGGAGTGTGTTCGCTGGCTAGATAAGCAAAGCGAGTGAGACGAACAAGGTCGAAATACAGGCCAGATGCACATGTAAAATCATATAGCTGGGAAGTTCTGCAAGGAAGAATGTGGCTCGTCAAGCTGCTTGAGTAGGTGTAGAAAACCTGAAAAGAAGCAATTCCATGCCTANGGCGAACAGATGCCCCTGGAGTGTGTTCGCTGGCTAGATAAGCAAAGGCAGTGAGACGAACAAGGTCGAAAGACAGGCCAGATGCACATGTAAAATCATATAGCTGGGAAGTTCTGCAAGGAAGAATGTGGCTCGTCAAGCTGCTTGAGTAGGTGTAGAAAACCTGAAAAGAAGCAATTCCATGCCTATTGTCCACCCAGGCTGGAATTTGTTCCCCAGTAAGGCTAGTAGGACCTGCGAGGGTAGCGAGACGAGCAGAATGAATCAGGTGAGTCAAGTGACTTGAACAAGGGTTGAAAGTCGATTTTCACTCCGGATAGGGACACCGGGGTGGAATGAGATTAGTAAGTCTTGTGAGAGGAGCGAGACGAGCTGGATGATAATGTTGAAAACTGTTGTAACTGTGGAAAATGTGGAGAAAGGGTTGAAAACACGGTGTAAATATTTGAGGTAAACCGTGGATTGATGAATATGTGATAAAAGCAGACCTTCTTAGTTGCACGGTTGAGCATGTGTATTCTGGTATGTTTAGTAGGTTGCGTGACTCGAGCTGGTCTGGCTGGTGAGCACTACTCCAGTCTGTTCACTGAGGTATGGCCCTTCGGGGAGTATCGCGGGGGCTGTGGTTTAATACCAAAGGCGGTAGAACTCAAAAAGGGTTAGATGTGGAGTTGCATTCCAACCGGGTGCCGGGACCCAAAGAACGGCAGAGACTTTATGTAGGTTTTGGCCTCACCAAGGTGGTTAGTGTGTCCTCCCACACTGCCTTTGGAACTGAAATGCTTGCATTTCAGGGCAATGATTAAGGCAAAAATTAATCCGTTGTGCCAAATGCAGGCACCGTGATTAAAGCCTTTTGGCAGGTAATCACGTAAAGCCTATATGCATCTGCCCGTTGCTCCTGTTATGTAATGAAAAATGGTCAGAAACGTTGTAATTGGATTTTTGTAATAAAAATTAATGCAAAGTGATGAGTGGACACATACTTTGTACAAACTATGAAATTGCCAGAGATGCCAACTGTTTTTTCGGTCAGCGTATTAACTTGACCCAATGCACTTTTTCAAAGTTTCGTATATATGTACAAGAAATAATGTCACATGTACACTCTAAATAATTAACAATATAAGAATGTGATGGCCTCGCCTGTCGCATACGACTTATGTAGTTCATTAGTGAATATATCGGTTGATTGAATACATTTTCTAATGTAGAGTGGACGATGTCTACCTCCATACTTTTTACCTTTGTTAATTGTTGAATTCCAATTGCAAGCGATCAAATTAAATAGTAGAATCTATGTAGTGTAAGTGGTATGTGCATACATATGTATGTATGTATTTAGTTGGTTTATAATTATTTTTTACATCGAAATCAAAGCACACTCATCAGATTCGCCTGCGATCAAAAACAGTTATAAGCAAGTAAGCGTATACCCGTTTTTTCAGAGTATTTCTACGGCAAATGCAGAAATGTGGGCAATAGATAGTGTTAATAAAATATGCAATAAAAAAAATTTACATAAATCACATAACTGTTTATGTTGGCGCAGCGCCGATATGTATATTGCGATTCCTTTACGCTAATACAAACAACCATTATATGAGCAGTGTTATAACAACACTTGCGCACAAGTGCGTTCGGGTATAAAAATACAATAACAATTGTTTTCGAAAAAGGTTTCCAAACTAAAATTTCTAGAATAAAAATACGGAAATCCTACCGGGCTTTAGCAGTATCCGGCCGGATAAGGCAGTTTCCGTATATCCGGTACATCTCTAGTTTTTAACTTATAAGCAAACTGTAATATTGGTCGACATCCCAAACACACTTTTGCCCTAAAACTAATCAAATAATAAATTTCTTAAGGTCAACTTTTCACATTAATAAATACACTTATTTGGTTACTTTATTTGTTCAATAAATTTTTGTGTTATTCCGAAACGAAATTTCGTCCGGAAAATTTATATTTTAATAATTATTATTTTTTACCGACATAAGCATTTATTTTCATCGAAGTAAAATTCTGTATTTCAACCCCCATATTTCCATAGCTAATTATTAAGAAAAAAATGTCCGAACGTCAACCTCTCTTGCTTCAGTCCGAAACAACTGCATCGGAGGAACGCCACCCACCCCGGCCGGACATTCGAAGTTCTCCAGATAATACATTTGTAAATGTTCAAAGTGATGACAGCATTGGTGGTATGTAAAAATCACAATGTAATTTATGCTTTACTTTGATATCGTTATAAAATTTAAAGCAGATTCAATTGAGAGCTTGGACAAATCCACATATAATCCTTCTTTGCATCGTACGTTGGAGCATCCCACCTCTAATTTTGATACTCTAGTGCATTTGCTGAAAGGAAATATCGGTACAGGGATTTTGGCTATGCCAGATGCATTTAAAAATGCTGGCTTATATGTGGGTCTATTTGGAACCCTCATCATGGGTGCTATATGTACGCACTGTATGCACATGCTGGTGAAATGTGCGCACGAACTTTGCCGAAGGCTTCAACAACCGTCACTTAGTTTCTCCGAAGTAGCCTTTTGTTCATTTGAAACAGGGCCCATTGGCTTGAGACGATATTCGCACGTCGCGCGGTAAGATTAATGTTTCATATTACATATTATTGTATTTATAGCATTTTTACTTACCTTATTAATATGCGTATATTTATTTTAGGCGAATGATAACAACATTCCTTTTTATAACTCAAATTGGCTTCTGCTGTGTTTATTTTGTTTTTGTGGCATTTAACATCAAGGAGGTGGTGGATCATTATTTTCCACACAATTACATAAATGTCAAAGTATACTTGACGCTTCTTCTACTTCCAATGATACCCTTAAACCTTGTGCGTAATCTGAAATATTTAACACCTGTCTCGTTGGCCGCAGCAGTGTTAACCGTATTAGGCCTTGCCTTCTCTTTCTTCTATATTCTACAAGATTTGCCTGATACGGACACAGTGAAGCCAGTTGCAACATGGGCCCAGCTACCTTTGTACTTTGGCACGGCTATTTACGCTTTCGAAGGAATCGGCGTTATACTACCACTTGAAAACAATATGAAAAAACCAGAAGACTTTGGGGGCGCGACCGGCGTATTGAACACTGGAATGACTGCCGTGGCATGTCTCTACACGACTGTTGGCTTTTTCGGATATTTAAAGTATGGAGAAAATGTAAAGGGCAGTATAACCCTTAATCTACCTCCTGATCAGTTGTAAGTTGTCATTGCTTCAATACAATTTTGTTTATATTTGATAAAATCCTCCTTAAAATCACATTCGGATAATATTGCTTCCATATTAGGACGCAACATTATTAGGTGGTCACTGGACTTCTTATGTACCATATTTAAACACAAATGCTCCCTCTTTATTTTATGTTACTGATATTTATAAATTTCTTCTATAGTATTTCACAGATGGTGCGCATTGCAATGGCTATAGCGATTTTCCTATCATACACTTTGCAATTCTACGTACCTGTAAATATTGTTGAGCCCTTTGTTCGCAACCAATGCACGGACCAACGAAAAAAAGAATTAGCATCGACGGTGCTGAGGGTTATTTTGGTGGTATTTACATGTAAGTTACAATTTATTCAAGCCAAGATATCGTAGATTGGCGTGAAATACCGCGTATACGCAATATACAATACTGCGTTCATAAGGCAAACCAAAGTTTACTGAAAGAAGTAAACCCCGATTTTTTAGCAAAACTGTTGCAATTTATTTACTGAACAAATAGCTTATTAGGTTTATGTTTGACTCACAATATACAAACAATTCAACAAAAAAAGTCGTAGAAAGTGTATAAAAAAGCTTTTTGAAATGTGCACACGGTATTGCACGCCAATCGTCGATATTCATTACATTTTTATTTCATTTTGAACCATCGCGTTGGCATTAATTACACGATGCTACAAAAAAGGCACAAAATTGTCCGAAACAAAACGTAGTTTAGGATGTAGGTAGGTTCGAGTACAACATGAAAATAGGTTCCTTATAGTTCTTGAACTCTGCATTTTTTTTTATTAAAAAAAAACAGTATTTTCGTACTTGATTCACTTATCTCTTAATAGTTAACTATTGTCATCCTATTTTAAAAATTTGACAAGAGGATTTATACAGGGTATATGGCTAACAGTTAAACATACGAAAATGGGGCATAGTTGGGCCGTCTGCTATGTGCTCAGCCCCAAAAATTTATATATATACTAGCTTATACCAGCGGGTTTCACCCCGCGCTTTTATACAAATAGGAAAAATAATTTAATGATGTTAGATTTTATTTCTGTGCCCATTTCGTTATACATAGCTCGTTATTTTCTAAGCGAGTTAAGGTATTTAGGCCGTTTAAAACTATGAAATTATAAAATCTCCTCTCTCCTCCCCCTAAGTTTACCTTAAAAGGTTTCCAGGTATACGACGCGTGAACGTGAAACCTTCTTGGAGGTGCCACGGCGAGTTCTAATATTTCCAACTCAAATTTAGTAACCTGGCCTTGATAAAATACCACTTCTCATTACTGTAGCAAATGCCTCAAGAGAGCAAATCATTTCAGTCATTTCCACGTATTAATTTAATTAAAGTTTCCTAATACGTGATAACTCTTAAAATAGTAGCCTATTTTCCAACATAGGTCATAAGCTATCTCTGTGCGAAATGTCATGCAAATCTGTTCAGTCGTTTCCGCGTATTAATTTAATTAAAACTTTTTTAACAGGTGGCAACTCTTCCAAAAAATTTGCCAAATTTCCACTGTAGGTCATAAGCTATCTGCTTGCAAAATTTGATGCAAATCCGTTCAGTCTTTTCCGCGTATTAATTTAATTAAACTTTTTTAGCAGGTGGTAACTCTTAAAATAGTAGCCTATTTTTCAACATAAGCTATATGTGTAAAAAACTTCCAAGCAAATCAGTTCACTCATTTCCGCGTATTAATTAAATTAAACATTTCTAACAGGTAGCAACTCTTAAAAAAGTAGCCTACTTTCTAACCTAGGTCATAAGCTATCTATGTGCAAAATTTCATGCAAATCCGTTTAGTCGTTTCCACGTATTAATTTA